AAAGGGGGGATAGAAATCTGGAGACTTAGATTCTGGTCATTTCTCCTTCACCCTCTAGCTGTGTAGCCTTGGGCAACTTACTTCCCGTCTCTGGGTCTAATCATGTGTAAAATAGTTACCTGACCTCCTATGGCCCTGGCAGCTCTGCTCTTCCGACTCCAGCTGGGGGTTCTGAAGTAGAGGGGTAATGATTAGTGGGAATCTGTACATGGCCCCCCTCAGGCCTAAGCACCATCTAGGTCCTGGACCGGAGAAGGTGACAGAGTGCAAAGCCATGAAGAAGGAGGCATGTGGGCTGAGTCAGCTGTGGCCTGACTCAGAGGATGTGGAGGAGGGCAGCAGGGTAAATAAAGTGTCCGGTTATCAGGCTCCAGGGAAGGGTTTTCAGGGACCCTCACTTTCCTTTGCTGTGCTTCCCTGTCCTCTTCCTTTTCCTAACCCCAGACTCAGTAAATAGAGATCTGGGATTTAAATCCCAGCTGCCCAGCTGTGTGGCCCTGAGAAAGTCACTTAACCTCTCTGAGCCTCAGTTTCCACGTGTATAAGTGGAGTTATTAAAACTAACTCAGAAAATTGTTGTGAAATTTCTCCTGTGAAAGTGCCTTGTTCTAGGGCTACTGCTAGATCTCCCTCCCTCCCCAAGTCTGGAAAAGGGCAACTGGTACAGATCGGCCCTCAAGCCACAGGGCAAACCATTAATGTTAATGGCGCTTTTTAGGTACACCGGGGGTGGGGTGGGGCATGTGGAGGAGCAGGCTGATGCTGAGGAGGTTGGATGGTAAGAACAGGCAGAGGGCTATTGCCCAAGCAGCCCCTGATGCTAGTGAGGAAGGGCCACTCTCCCTGGAGACCTATTTATTGTGCAATTTTCAAAGGCCCAGCAGCTCTCTGGGAATTTTTCTTTGGGGATCCAGCATTGAGCCCCAGCTGATGGATGGGGGTGTGTGGGCAGCATGGGGAAGACTCCCCCGTCTCATAGCAGGCCTGGCCTGCACATGCACTGTGGGTGTTCCTGTCACTCTTTTGAGCCTGGTTCATCCAAGGCCCCCAGTTTCTAATCTGGTTGGGAAAGATTTATTTTTGGGTCCCTGTAACCTAGCAATGGGCTCACATGACCAGTGGCAGCTGCAGGCTGAATATACTGTTGGATCTTGGCTCCTGGCAGGGGGTGTAGGCCAGACTGTGGGGGAATAAAGGGAATGGAAAGGCTTTCACCTCTGCTTTCCTCTGACTCCCTCCTCAGCCCCTCAGCTTGGTCACAGATGGTGGGCAGGGGGGTGGCTGCCTGGGGAGCAGGCGTGGCTGGAGCTGGCACAGGGGGCTCTGGACGGCCGGGTGCTGAGCTGCGGTGGGGAGGTCCCAGCTGTGAGCCTGCTCTCCACGTGGGGAGGGTTGGGTGTCCATGTGGATGGCGGTGGGTGCAGGGAGGGCGCCATGCTGGCATCCTGGGGGGTGAGGCCAGTCTTTGTTGTGGGATCTCAGGGACACCCCTGGTCGATGGTGGAATCCCAACATCCGGCTTCTTTCCTTTGTTCCCTGTTAAATTGTTAATATTCCTGGGAGAGAGAACACATTAAGCTGCTATCAGTGTGAATGGATTTGTCAGCCTCTTTCCTGAGAGCAGGCTTTGACAGATGCAGAGAGAGCAGAGGAGGGCAGGGGATGCTACTGAGCAGGCGAGGGGCTGCAGGGAGAAGGCTGTGGGCACATAAAGACCATTCGAGAGACTATTGAATACATGGATGGGCGAATGAAAGAATGAAACTTGGTCCCCTTCAAGGTCTCATCTTGAGGAGGCAGGAAAGAGTGGGAGGGGACATAGCCCTGTCAAGAGGTGGGCAAGGGTAGGGCAGGGCTGCACCAAGGAGAAAGTTTGGGATGGAGAAATCAGACCTCAGCACCAAGGGCTCCACCATGATCCTGAGGAGAGGGGTACCCCTGCCACCAACCTGTAACAGGAGCCCACTCCTGGGTATGCATGCAGTATGGTGGGCCGTGGACCTCTGATGTGGCTTGTGGGACCACCTCCAGTTTCTCCACCTTGGCCTTCCCACCTCCTCCACTGTGCTAAGTTCTAGAAGGAGGGATTGGCAGGGTGGGGTGGGAGGATGTAATGTCAATAGCTACTCCAAACCCTGAGTTCATTTAATGAGATATTGCGTAAAAAGTCCTCCCCAGATTGGGCCCTCGAGAGCTCGTATCATCATCATCTTTGTTGTTATTCTTGTTATTCTTGTTATTCTTGTATCAGCTGCCTCCAAGCCAGGACAGACAGTTTCTCCTCTCCTTCTGCCTCTTCTGAGCCAAGATGACCTCCAGCAACTGAGAAGATGCTCTAGGATCCACCGCCTCTTTGCAACCACCTTTCCCAAAGGCTCTCTGGGAGGGGCCTCAGGACCTGGAGACTGCCCGCTGGCCACCACACCGGTTGTTTGACCAGCCAGGGTACTAGCTCCCCCAAGCCGGAGAAGCAGGCTATGTATTATAGGCTTCCTATCCCTATTAGATAAGCTAGGAAGTGAAGAATGTTTGTCCATTTTCTAGATAGAAAGATTAAGGCACAGATGGCCAACTCACAGGCTAAGGTCTTACTATAAACCAATAGAGTAGAGCCCAATTAGAACCAAGGATTCCTGACCAATCCAGTGCTTTTTTTTTTTTTTCTTTTTTTCCTTTGGCCATGCTGCGCAGCTTGTGGGATCTTATTTCCCCGACCAGGGATCAAACCCAGGCCCCAGCCATGAGAGTGCTGAGTCCTAACCACTGGACTGCCTGGGAATTCCCTCCAGTGCTCTTTCTATAATCCTGTTCTGATGAGCCCGAATGGTTCTTTGTGGATCTTTGGAAGGGGGCCGTGTCAGTCTGAGCTGGGCTTCTGCGGGAATGATGTGGGTGCTGATCAGGGATAGACTTCACCTGATCACGGAAGGTTTGACTGATGCCAAGATGATCTTGCCGACATGATAGCACAAGGTTTGACAAAAATCACTTTGCTGTCTTCAGGTTCTCATTTGACATTTTAATTAGATTTCCCTGTATTCAGGTATATCTAATTTTGTTTTAGGCTGTTTCCTAGAAGGTAGTGGCCATTTCTATGGAATTGGCTTTAGGGCCTCAGCCCAGAGTCTCATGTCAGGCCTCCAGGGAAGCCATGGGGGCAGGGGGAAAGGAGTAAATGCTTTGGCTTCAAACAAACCTGGGTTCAAATATTGGCTCTGGTATTTACTAGCTATGTGACCTGGGCAAAGTCACTTCACCCGGGGTACCCATTTCCTCATCTGTAAAATAAGGTGAGTAATGGCTGCTTAATAGAACTGGTGTGAGGATTGAAGGTCTCGTATGTAAAGGGGCTGGCACTCGTAAGAGCTCAAGAAAGGGTGGCTGGGATATTGGAGATCACAGGGTCGGGTCTGGGCTGGTCAGTGGCCTCTTTGTTGTTGACCTGGGGCAGCCACCTTGCCCCCTCTGAGTTTCCTGGGTGATTCATTGTTCTTATGGCTCTTTGGTTTGGGTCTGGTAAACAATTCCAGAATTCCCTTTCTTCCCTTTTAGAGACAGAGGGAGTTCCCGTATAGGTGAGTCTCAGGGAAGAGGGCTCTGGAGTAGATATTATGCCTGAATTCCTTGTCTAGGCTCATGGCTCTGCCATGCGTGGCTTTGGGCAATCTCTTGACCTCTCTGGGCCTCACAAATATGGGTGCCTTGGCCTGTAGGATGTCTTACAGCTCTACAATGTTAGGATCCTATCCTTGGGTGTCAGTCCTAATCCTGGGGGAGCTGTTTTCTTTAAGATTTTTTTTTTTTGCGATACGCGGGCCTCTCACCGTTGTGGCCTCTCCCGTTGCGGAGCACAGGCTCCGGACGCGCAGGCTCAGCGGCCATGGCTCACGGGCCCAGCCGCTCCGCGGCATGTGGGATCCTCCCGGACCGGGGCACGAACCCGTGTCCCCTGCATCGGCAGGCAGACTCTCAACCACTGCGCCACCAGGGAAGCCTGGAGCTGTTTTCTTCATAGTTGGTGGGAAGCCATGCCCCTTCATTTCACCTCCAAAGACTCATCACCTGGCCTTGGACCTTCTGCCTATAATGTTCCCCAGCTCTGCTCGGTCCCGCAGATCCCACAGATCCAGACCAATCAGAGCCTTCCTGAGTACCTGCCTCCCACTCTGCCTTCAGGGAGCAGTGCAGTGCTGGTACCACAAGGTGGCTTATGAGGATGTTAGATTCCCCCATCTCCACCAGCTCTCTCAGCCCCACACCACATAAACATACAATCTAAGAAGACAATAGGAAGGCACTTTTTGAGGGGCAAGTGCAGGGTTAGGACAAGGCCCTTAGCTCCTCTTCAAACCCAACAGCCACTCCTGAACCTGTCCTCTCTATACATGCGGCAGCTTCCAAAGGAGCCAAACCTTGGGCCACGCCCTCGAGCCACGGCCCCTCCCAGACCTGACCCTAGTGCCCTGTGCCTGTACTGACTGGCCTGCTACAAAAGCACCTTGGTTCTGATGTCACAGAACCATGCAATGTCAGGGCTGTGAGGAACATTTAGGGATCATCTGTCCTATATTCTTTTTGAACAGATAAGAAACTAAGACCAGAAATGGCAAGTGACTTGCCCAAGGTCACAGTTAGTAACTGCCAGAGCCAGGCCTTAAACCTGGATTTTCTGACTCTGAGTGCTCTTTTTATGTCATCAGGCTGGCCAGGAGGGTCTCCCCTGCCTGCCATCACCTGACTCCAACAGGTTTTTGAGTTACCACTCCAGAAGCCTGAGAGGAGGGGGAGGGGCTGGGCCCACTCCTGGGTGCCTTGCCTGGGGGCACTGCTGCCTGGCTTCTGGCTGCAGAAGTGGCTCCAAGGGGCTGGGTGGGAAGCAGGGGGCCATTAGGACCCAGAAGCTCTCAGCGCATCCTGCTCTGCCGGCTGCCTCTCACTGATCACTGCAGTGGTTCAGGCTTCAGCAGCCTTGGAGAAGCATCAGCTGAGAGGAGCTATCACATGGGAGCCGGGAGCTGCTCAGCAAAGGTAGGAGTTGCCGACTAGGCCAGGAATGGGGGCCAGACCCAGGCCTGGTGGTGAATGCTGAGGTACTGTACAGAAGGGTACAGCCCATCCTACCTTACAGTGGGCAGTTTTGTCAGGGGATGGGCCCCCAGGTATCCCGAAGGCAATATTGGGGTGTGGGCATCTCTGAAGCCTAGAGATGGGGATTGATCTGCTGCCAGCAGGAGTACCCACATCCTGCAGGCAGACAGGTTCCTCATCTATCTTGCTCTGTGTCATAGAAATGGGTCCCCTTCATCCTAGGAAAGAATCCTTTGGCATCCAGGCTGACGGGCAACTCTGTGTCCTGGGCGTCGGCAACTCTCCTAGGGAGAGGTGCTGTAGCCCCCTGAAAATCTTTCCTGGCTTAGGAGGGGCATGCTCTTCTCTGAAGGGAGGCCAGTCTCGGGTCCTTGGGATGGAGGCTCTGCAACTAAGAAACAGGTGTATGTGAATCCCAACACCTCTGTGGCCTTGGGCTGGGCACTTATGTACATCTTGCATCCTGAGACACAGTTGTTTGTAACTTGACCATACCCCTGCTAGAGGCCCAGACCCCAGATCCTTGGGTGGCAAAGCCTTCCAGGTACTGAGAAGTCCTAGAGGTGAGGGAAGGGTTGCTGGAAGGGAGCAGAGGGAGGACAAGAGTGTCCGAGAAGGCATGATGATATGAGCTAGGAATGGAGTGAGGCTCCCTGGGCTTCCCCTGTGAAACCGTTACCCACAGCCCTCTCAGGCTTTACCCTGGTCCATCAGTGAGGAAGTGCTGGGGAGCAGGTATATTGGCTCTTCTGTTAGGAGGTAAATGGGAATACTGGAATTTAGGGGTCAGTGCAGAGATACTGGCAAGGCTGAGGGGGTGAAAAGGAGAAATGTCCAATGCCTTCTTGCCTAGGGCTCCATCATGGCTGCACAGCACCCCTCCATCTCCACGTGGAAACCATGTCTGCTTCCCGCAGTCTGGGACCCTGGGTAAGCCCTGCTGGCAGACACTTGATGTCCATGCAGACATGGTGGGCCTTGACTCCTTTAGCTTCCAGGGCCTCAGAGTCACGTCTTCTGGGCCCCACTCCCAGGTAGAAGGAATGCGGGAGTCATGGCATAGAGAGTAAGGGGCAATGTTGCCTCCCCTGGTGTTTCGTTCCACATTTTTTTCTGGCAGATTGTCTTATGAGAAGGGTCTGCATTTCTGGGCCCTCTCTTCACCTTCTCTGCAGACCCAGTGGCTATGTGACATGTGCTGTCTCTTATCCCCGGGGAGAGGCACGTCTCTAGGTAGTTGTTCAAAGTTAGGGCTGCCTCAAGTCCAGGAGCCCGAGTTACTCGTTCCAGAAGACAGGCCCCTGGCTGGCACACAACTGATGGACTGAGTGTTCTTGGAGTATGTCCTAGGGGGCAGAGATTCAACTGATCAATTTGAGTTTGATTCAGGTCACAAAATTGTGCTGAGCACTTATCGTATGCATGGCATGCTGGAAGTTAAATTAGTGCAAGGTTGGTGGTAACGCCAAAAACCAAGGTGATTGTAAGGCTGTAGCAATGGAGGGGCAAGAGGACCCATCTGCCCCAAGTGGGCCTCTTTACTGCAGTCAGAGAAATGATGGGTTTTTAACTGAGCAGCCACCAGGCCCTCCATAGCCCGGGAACTCACTGAGCCATCAAATGTTGTCATATATGGGAACCTTAGAGGTTGTCCAGTTCAAACCTCCCATTTTACAGATTAAGAAACTGACCCAGGAAACTTCTGGCTTGTCTGCAGAAAGCCCATCAGACTTGGCATGTCCACAGTTTGCCTCTAATTTTGATACCTTAGTACACTATGTTGAGGGAATCTGGACTTCAAGAATGGCATATGGAAATCAAAAAAAAATTAAAATTATATCTGACCCTTGAACAATGTGGGGGTTAGTGGCGCTGACCCGTTGAGCAGTGGAAAATCCAGGTATAATCTATAGTTGGCCTTCCGTCTTGTAATTCTTCTGAATCTGCAGTTCCACATCTGCAGATTCAACCTACTGCTGATGGGCTCCTGTAGTACTGTAGTATTTACTACTGAAAAAAATCTGCATGTAAATGGACTCCTACAATTCAAACTCATGTTGTTCAAGGGTCAACTGTACATTGAGCAACTTATTTCAATTCTGTGCAAACTCAGCATGGATAATGAGACACGTAAAACAGCTCTGAGCAGGAGAAATGAGAGACACTGAACACTCAAGACTCCGCCCCTTGCCAGTTTCTTCCAGTTTTTCTCTTTACTTTATGCTCACCCACCTCCACCCCTCCATACCTCTTACACAGATGCCTACTCCTCCCTCCTTGTTCTGGGACTGTGGTAACAGTCCAGGAATAGGAGGGTTTTGGCCAGGGGTCCTGTGATGATCTGCTCCAATGACCCAAGATCCGGGGCCCTGGGAAGTGGGGGGTTAGGAGCAGCTCCTCTCCCACCTGTGGGGGAACAGTGACCTTGGGAAGTTAATGAGTGGGTGGAGAAGGGCAGCTTTCATATGACTTACGCCTTTCTGGCTTTGGGAGCAGTGGAGTCCGGATGAGCTGAGCTCCCAGTTTCCCTCTACCTGGGATGTTTTGTTTTCACTGGTCCTTCTCAACACTCCCAAAGTGGCAGCTCTTTGTCTTGGGGATGGTGATGTCCAAGCACACTAATGCACAGTCCTTCCCCCTTTCAGGTAATCTCTGTCTAGTGGTGAGAGACATTTTTAGAGACGCTTCAAATTCAACCACTATTTACTGAATGTCTGTTATGTTGCAGCCACTGTGGAGGGCACCATCAAACACAGTATGGCACGGTGGGCTGGAGTACTGGCTCGGGAGCCAGGCCTCCTGGGTGCGTACCTGGACCTTGCTACTTACTAGCTGTGTGACCTTTGGTAAGTTACTTTATCTCTGCAAGCCCCAGTTTTATCTATTGCAAAATGGGGATAAGAATGACATCTACCTCATAGGGTTGCATAAGGATTAAAATGAGTTAATAGGGGCTTCCCTGTGGCGCAGTGGTTGAGAGTCCGCCTGCCGATGAAGGGGACACGGGCTCGTGCCCTGGTCCGGGAAGATCCCGCATGCCGTGGAGCGGCTGGGCCCGTGGGCCATGGCCGCTGAGCCTGCGCGTCCGGAGCCTGTGCTCCGCAACGGGAGAGGCCACAGCAGTGAGAGGCCCGCAAACTGCAAATAAAATAAAATAAAAAGAAGAAGAGTTAATATACGTAGAGTGCTTAGAACAGGGCCTGGTATGTGGAAAGCACCATAGACATGTTACTACTTATTATTAGCATTTTTATTAATAAATCCTGCAGCATCTTCCAAACAGTTGTGAAGCAGGTATTATTCCCTTCATTTTACAGATGCCTTTATGAGGAAACTGAAGTTCAGAAGAGTTAGTAGCTCCCAGACCTAGGACTGGAAACCTGATCTCGTGCTCCTTCTCCTCGACAGCTGCTGCCATTCTGAGGAGACAAGAAATCAGGAAATTTACATAAGCAACCTTAAAACTGGGCACTATCCCAGAGCTCAGCAGGACCCTGGGAAAGGGAAAGGATTTAGAGTCCCTGGATAACAGTCCTTGAAAGGGGAGAAGGGTGTGGAGAAGAGAGGAAAGGAGCAGGAGACCACTCAGAAGACGGAGTGTTGAGTGGGTGAGGCTCCTGCATCTCTCATGCTCCTGCTTCCTTGCAGTCACCAAGGTGGACCCGGAGCTGCCTCCCGAGCCCTCAGTCCCCGGCCTTGAGGGCTGGCAACAAGAGCCTGCCCGAGAGGCTCCAGCAGGAGGCGCTCTCTCCCCACCCCAACCCGCACACACAAAATTGGGAAGCCTGGGCCTGGGCTCGCCATCCCAGGGTCACTGGACTAGGATGGGGGATGGGCCTGTGACAGGAGGTGCCCTGGGTGTCCTCTTTCGGCCCCATGGAGTCCTCCCCCATCCCCCCGTCATCAGGGAACTCTTCCACTCTGGGGAGGGTCCCTCAAACCCCAGGTCCCTCTACTGCCAGTGGGGTCCCAGAGGTAGGGCTGCGGGACGTGGCTTCAGAATCTGTGGCCCTCTTCTTCATGCTCCTGCTGGACTTGACCGCTGTGGCTGGCAATGCTGCTGTGATGGCTGTTATCGCCAAGACACCCGCCCTTCGAAAATTTGTCTTTGTCTTCCACCTCTGCCTGGTGGACCTGCTGGCTGCCCTGACCCTCATGCCCCTGGCCATGCTCTCCAGCTCCGCCCTCTTTGACCGTGACCTCTTTGGGGAGGTTGCCTGCCGCCTCTACTTGTTCCTGAGCGTATGCTTTGTTAGCCTGGCCATTCTCTCGGTGTCGGCCATCAACGTGGAGCGCTACTATTACGTGGTCCACCCCATGCGCTACGAGGTGCGCATGACGCTGGGGCTGGTGGCCTCTGTTCTGGTGGGTGTGTGGGTAAAGGCCTTGGCCATGGCTTCTGTGCCGGTGTTGGGAAGGGTCTCCCTGGAGGAGGGAGCTCCCCGTGTTCCCCCAGGCTGCTCACTCCAATGGAGCCACAGTGCCTACTGCCAGCTTTTTGTGGTGGTCTTTGCTGTCCTTTACTTCTTGTTGCCCCTGCTCCTCATCCTAGTGGTCTACTGCAGCATGTTCCGAGTAGCCCGAGTGGCTGCCATGCAGCACGGACCGCTGCCCACGTGGATGGAGAACCCCCGGCAACGCTCCGAGTCTCTCAGCAGCCGCTCCACCATGGTCACCAGCTCGGGGGCCCCCCAGACCACCCCGCACCGGACGTTTGGGGGAGGGAAGGCAGCAGTGGTTCTCCTGGCTGTAGGGGGACAGTTCCTGCTCTGTTGGTTGCCCTACTTTTCTTTTCACCTCTACGTCGCCCTGAGTGCTCAGCCCATTTTGACCGGGCAGGTTGAGAATGTGGTGACCTGGATTGGCTACTTCTGCTTCACTTCCAACCCTTTCTTCTATGGATGTCTCAATCGGCAGATCCGGGGGGAGCTGAGCAAGCAGTTTGTCTGCTTCTTCAAGCAGGCGCCGGAGGAGGAGCTGAGGCTGCCTAGCCGGGAGGGCTCCATTGAGGAGAACTTCCTGCAGTTTCTTCAGGGCACTGGCTGTCCCACGGAGTCCTGGGTTTCCCGACCTGTACCCAGCCCCAAGCAGGAGCCACCTGCTGTTGACTTTCGAATCCCCGGCCAGATAGCTGAGGAGACCTCTGAGTTCCTGGAGCAACAACTCACCAGCGACATCATCGTGTCGGACAGCTACCTCCGTCCTGCCCCCTCACCACGACTGGAGTCCTGATGGGCTGCTGGACACTTGGAGGGAGATGGGGCTGGGGGCCGGTTAGGACCGCAAGGAACTCCTTGTGGGATCACCTTTTCCCAGCTAGCTGGGGCTGGGGGTCTCTGCACACAGCTTTCGCTTAGTGTTTTCTGGGTCAGGAACAGAGCCAACTGGATGGATATGTGGCAAAAGCCTTGGACATGGCTGTGAGCCTTGACAACTGGGGGAGGGAACCTGGTGAGATGGTGATGAGAATAAAGGGTCAAGAAGGTGAGATGATGCCTCTCAACCAATGAACTTTCCATGACTCAGGAAGCAGGGAAACTATAAGGGTAGGAGTTGGAAGATATAGGGCAGCAGACCAGGCTTGGAGTTATTCTGGGGACCCTTTAGGACCTTTCATTTTTCAGTGTAATTGTCCAGGGAAGAAATTGCACTCAAGCAAGGTAAGAAAATGACCCATGTCTTCTCATTTCCTTGCTAGGTTTAAAAACAACTAAATTACAGCCAAGTGTTTCCTTTGAGTTAATAGATTTTTTTTTTTCTAGTTTTAAACCTGAGGTTTCCTTAAAGCGAGAGGACCAGCTGGGTATATTCCTTTCTTGAGTTTGGCCAAGCAAGGGGAAATAGTAATCAGGGCACACAGAGTAGAATAGAGGAAAGCTGACTGCAGCTCTCTCTCTCCCACCCTCCAGGAACAGCCGTTCTGTTGTATTTTTCAGTTTCTCTTTTGGACATGGGAGATCAAGTTTGGGGCTTGATCTTAGCAGAGGCAAGAATAAAGCAGGATGGTTTTTCTCTTTGTCTTTTAGGATGAAGAAGTGGAAAGATTGGGGGTTGGATGGCTGAAGGTGGGAGTTAGCATTTGAATCGCTAAGGTGGTTGGATACAGAGAGGCCTGTAGTAACCCAGACCAATAATACTGTAAATCTTTTTTTTCCAGAGCTGGCCTCCCTGATCTCTCTCCTCATGGCAGTGACCCATCGCCAGCCCTCTGGACAATCGGGTACAAGAGACTAAGGTCGGGAATGGGAAAGGTGGGGTTTCCATGGTTCATTAAATGCCTCCCTACTCCCATTCATCGCTCTCAAAATTAGCTTCAGTGACACAGGCTTAAATCTCTCTCCTATCTGCAGCCCTGGGTTGGAGAGGGGGCACGGGAATTGGGCTCAGCTGTTCACTGATTGAGACTGTAGGAACTGTGTTGGGTGGTCTTGGTGGTGGTATATTCAAGGGAGGGGGAATAATCGCAAACTGGACAGGACACCCATCTAGGACTACCCGTCCGTCCACTTCCCTCAATTCAATCAGGTCACATTAGAGAGTTGAGGCAGGACCACATGGTGGTGTGATCTGTATTTGAACAAATTCCTGGCTTGACTGAGCATCAAAGAGGAAGATGGCTTGGTGGGAGTGGGACAGTTTCCCCTCTGAACAGTTAATAAATAATTTTTATTATAAAAAGTTATGCTGATATCAACATTGACTCCTTCAGTTCAACTCAGTGCATGATAGTTGAATACCCTATTCTCTGGGACTCACACAGAGGATTTGGAGTCACTGCCTTCAAGGAGTTCACAGTCTAATTTGATCAGGTACCTTGTATTTTGACAGAGCATTTACATATGGTAAAGCACTATGGAATGTGTTAAGAGAAATATATTGAGGAATATGTTCATGGTTCTAACTTCTGAGAGTTCAGCCTATTGCAGCAAGATGCCTATATGGAGGCTTCCTGCAGATTGAAGTCTGGGGGCTGTAGATGAAACTCTAGTTGAAGAAAACAATTTATTACATGAAACTGGGCAGCTTCTCCTCCTCAGACCTACGAAATTTTCCAGGTTTCTGTCTTCCTACCACTAGACTTACTCTAGTCCAGTGCTTATTACATTGAGGAAATCCCTTAGATGATATATACATCGAGGAGAGTCTTTTGCGATTGAAATGCATGTTCTCCTCCTCTCTCTCCTCCTTCTAAAGATAAATTCATAAGGGAGGAATCTCATTCCTAGATAGGGGGAAAACTTCTTCCGAACACCACTGATGAGCTAGCCGACCCTAAACATTGCCAGCAGGTGGCAGTGTGAGTCCAGTGGAGCTAGGAAAGATGAGTGCAGGTGGGGAGGGGGAGGGGGGACATTAAACACTGCCTGGCAGCCATTTTGTTAACTTATTTTGCCTTTTGTTTGACTTTGCCCTCCAACTCTTCCTTCACATACATCAAAGGAGAAAATCTTAAGTACAAGAATATGGCAAATTCAGGCTGAAGTTTCCTGACACTGTGATCTCACTGGTGTTTATTACAGAATTTGACATATGCTGGTTCATTTGCCATTTATTTTTCCCAGAGTGGATCATGAAGGAAATAAAATTTTCTCTTCTATTATGCTGAGAACTTTCCCAACAATTTGTCATGGCCACCTTCCAGCGGTTTTCTAATCACCAGGATCACTTGGTAAAGTTCCATATGTAATTCTTAGCTGTGAAAGCCATTCCTGGACAAAATTTGACCTCTAAATCCACTGAAGAAATCAACAGGTTGAGAAAACCGTGCTCTCAAGTTATTTTTGTCCTGCACCCTGGTGGTGTTGGGGTAACTTTCAATCCTAGATGAAAACCTTCTGTTGTCAGGTCGCCCAGGTAACATCTTATAGTAGCATGGTAGGAAAGGAGTGAATTTGGAGTCAGATCTACTTACTCACTGTGTGAACTTGGGAAAGATGCTTAATTTCTCTGAGCCTATCTCCTCATCTGTAAAAATGGGGATAATATTAACCTACCTCACAGGGTTGTTGTGAGGAATAAAAGAGATGACACATGGAAGCACCTAGCCATAGCTGGCAAATAGGTACTCAATAAATATTGGTTTTTCTTCCCTTTCCTCTTGCCCTTTTCCCCCATAAGTATTGATTATGGGAAAGCAGTCCCTTTTATTCTAACGGTCACTTGGAAAAGAGTAGGAGACTTCGAACTTTAAAGAACTGGCAATAATAAATTATGGTGGATGAGGCTGTTTAAGGTGGCTCTCAAGAAATTCCTCTAATGATCATCAATCACCATATAGACCTTTCTGTTTGGATCATATATTCTAAGGTTTAGGTTCTATTGGGGAGATAATATTTAATCGTAGGGAAGGGTTTTGGGGGCTACAAGAGTTCCCCTCCCTAGAATATATGGTGAGAGTATTTGTGGGGCTATTTGGAAGTAAAGGTAATTTAGGGCTACTTTCACCGTAGTATCCAGGATTATGAGTAAAGAGGCTATCAGTCTGGGGCTTTTATAGGTGATTTATCAACTTTCAGGTGATGCTATGGCTGAGAGGCAAATTTTACCAGAACTTCCCTTTTCATGTGGTACAACAGGTAATTTTAATAGGAGATTCACAGGATGCACTGGTTTGTTTTAGGGTGTGGAACTTTGGTTGACTAATCCTGGTAGAAGTCCTAAGTCCTTAACGCAGGACGATATGTGAGCGCTAAAACTGGCTTATGTTGGGGAAAGACAGCATGGAAATTTTATGGAGAAACTACACTCTTACCTTTCAAGTAAAGTAAGATCCGTTAGCGATTTCAAGTGACCCTTTACCAACGTAGTGGCTGGGCAACTCTCTAGTTCACTGGGTACATTTTGAGAGCAGGAGGCGGTGGGCCAGAGGAGAGAGCAGAAAGGGATAGATAAAGTCCCAGGCATGGTCGGTCTTACTAATTTCAGATGTGGAGCGTGGCCAGGGCCCAGACTCTGTAATTCTCATCCTATAGATCTGGCTGAGACAACTCCGGCCAAGAAAGTGTCCTACACTTGGGCAGAGGCCCCGGATCTCCACAGCCAGAGTCCAACTGGGTTTTCTGGCCAGTGAGAAATTCCCAGCAGAGATTTCCGCGTGGGCTGCGGCCTTTTATTTGGGAATTCCCATCCCCCACGTCAATCTGAAGCCGCCTGTGTGACCTCGGGAGGGTGTCTTGAGCCGGAGAAGCCAGTCCCTGGTTTTTCCACACTTATCCAAATAAGGCAGCCGAAAAGATGAAAGGGGACTAAGGTCGAGCGGCGCCCGGCGAGCTCGACAGGGCAGCCCTACACCACGGAACGGCCGCTTGACCTGCTCGTTCCTCTCTTCGTTCTCCCGTTCCTGGTCGTTCCTCCTTTAACCTAGCCAGACACGGCCGAGAAGTAACGGCCGCGGGCGTTGCCGGAAGTGTCGTAAAACGCCGGATATCCGGTTTCTCTGGGCGCTCAGGGAGCTGACGGAGAGGGCCGCCGCCCAACAGTAGACGCTGTCTCCGCCGGCCCAGCCGCGGTCTCCGGTGTGTGAGTGAGCCCGGGCCTGGTCCCTTCTCCCTCCGCCGCCATGGGCTGCACGTTGAGCGCCGAAGACAAGGCGGCGGTGGAGCGAAGCAAGATGATCGACCGCAACTTGCGGGAGGACGGGGAGAAAGCGGCCAAAGAAGTGAAGCTGCTGCTACTCGGTGAGGGGCTGGGGGCGGGGCTGGTGGGGTGTTCCCGAGGGCCCAGGCACTTGGGAGTCCTGGGCGGGGGGGTCAGGCCGGGCCGGAGGAGAGGACCCCAAAGAATCTGGAGGGCGTGACGGACGTGGGGCGGGGTGTGGGGGGGTTGGTGGCTGAGGCCGGAGGGCGTGATGAGGGGGTGGGGTTTTGGAGTGGTAGGAATTAGGCTGGAGAGAGGGTGTGCCTCCATGCTGGAATTGGGTTCAGCGAAGAGAGCTTGGAAGTGTGGTCCAGTAGGACATTGAGACTGTATTAGGAATATGGGAAAAGCTCATAAAGGAAGAGCTGATGTTAGGGAAGGTTTTGCAAGGGAGGGGTTGGAGTGAGTTGGTAGCGAGGACGGGAGAGTGTGTTGGGCTTGTATAATGGCTTGTGAGTTTGGAGCGTGGTGGTATTTTATGACAGGTTAGAGTTAGGAGGCTTGAATAATTAATATAAATAGAAAGGGGGGCAGGGACAGAGTGGTCACATAGGACCTTGTCATTTATTAGAGAGTGGGCATTTTGAACTATCTGTAAGGTGGAGGAACTCTGGGTTATCCGGGAGCAGGAAGGTGTGTGGTTGAGATAAATGACAAGTTCTCAGGTATAAAGGAAAAGAGTTTGGGTGCAGAAGCTGTGTGTACTTATCCACCTTCTTCTATTATTTTTATTCTCTTAAGGTTTTATAACTCCTTTCCTTGTTTTTATAAAGTGGGAGGTTGTGTGAGCTGAGGAGATTTAAGGACTTGCTGGTTTGAGGTTTGTGGCATAAGATGTGATGATAATAGATTACACAGTGGGAGTTGCTGAATAGTTGCTAGGGATGATGTGCAGTGGGACTGCAGTTATCTTAGGATAAGATAAATATTGGACATATTTACTGTAAAAGGTGTGACAGTGACAGATTTCTGGTGAGCTGTTCTTTTTTTTTTTAAATATTGGCTTCAGGAATTACTTTTATTTTACCTGACATTTGTTTTAAGTAGCTTTTATGTACAGTCAGATGCATTTTACTCAGCATGGTTAGTTTTAGAATTTTTGAGAGACTGGTTTCTAGAGGCTCAGTAAATCACATGAAGTACCCTGGCATCAGCTTACCAAAAGATCAAGCCGCATTTCTTCACCTTTAGTATTTTCTAGGGATCTGTCAGGGAAGACTAAATAGAGTAATGGTTTCTGTAAGCAATAGAACTTTACTTTACAAAACAAGTGATTTTGGGGAAAAAGAAGTTGCTTTAGGAGAAGTACCAAATTTTTATGGTGTAAAGCTCCAGAGGACACAATGCACCACCATAACCCAGGGTTTATTTTGTACTCCAGGGTGTTCTGGGTGGCCATGCTAGTCTTTTCATATTAACATGTTTGATGGTTTGTAGATTGCAGAAGCCCTGGTAACAGCTTTTTGGATAAAGAGGGAAAGTTATGCATTGGAGCTTGAGCTTTCAGTTTGAATACCCGATCTTACAGAACATATGAAATAAAATTGAAATTCCAGACTGCCACTCTCCATATAACAGTATCATTTGTGAATGAGCGTGGTCCCTGGTACATAGCAGGTGCTTCTTAAATATATACTGTTAACCAGCATGTGCCAGCTAATGTTGGACATTGCTCCTTGGGGCCTTTCAGATGTTTGATATAAACCATAATACTCAAGGCATTAGCACTGTCTCTATTGATCGATTAGTTATGAAAGTAAAGGTGTATTTTCATCTTCTGTGGTTATTTTGATTTACATTCATCATTAGAGATCCCCTCAGGACATTAGCCTATTGTGATACAGGACTTTATAAATAGTGCATTTAATTAAAAGCAAAATTAAACACATGATCACTTAGGGAACTTCAAAAGCAGTAAGTAAAAACATTTGCTTTTACTTTTCATCAATTTCATTGTTTTAAGTAAGATTTTTTTATATTCTTGAGCAAGTTAAATCAACAAATTCAAATAGGTGGCAGAGAGAGATGTTCTTGCTTGAACCATAACATAACACACTTATGAAATTAAAGTTATTTT